AGAAGCTTGAGGGTCCTTGAGGCAACAAGTTTAGAGTGCAGGAAAAGAGTCCCCCAGGGATGTGGGGGAATCCGCCGCTGCCACCCCTCCCCGTCGTCTTCCCCACCCCCCCCACCGTGTCGTCGCGCCCCCGCCCCCCATCCCACGCCCCTGCGGCAAGAAATCTCCCTAGGATCGCTCGTTTCCCGCAGCCTCCCTCGGCAGGCCTCCGATCCATCGCAGAGGCGGCCAGACCCCTCAGGCCCGCCGTCCCCGCCGCAGCCCCGCAAGACACATCGGCCCCGCAGCCCCCGGCCCCGCTCACCTGCACCTGTTTGCGGAAGTGGCGCGGCCCGGGCACTGCCGACGGCCAGGAGCAGCAGCAGCTGCAGCAGCAGCACCGGCGGCGGCGAGGACACCGGCGGCCCCGGCATCTCGTAAACCGCGCGGTCCCCTGGGGCCGGCTCTCGGGTCGCCGCCTTCAGCCAGTCGGTCAGTCAGTCCTCCGCGCTGCCTCAGCGACACTGGCGCCGGCTGCTTCGGGACATACGTCTCTTCGGCCAAACGTCAACCTCGTTCCCGGTCTGCATCTGCCGCTCTGGCCGCGGAACCATCATCATCCTTCCCGCCCGTCTGCGCCGCCGCCGCCCCTCAATAGCAGCAACGGCAGCCACCCAGCGGAGCCGCGGGCCCAGGCAGCCGCGCTCCCGCCGCCATGATGGGCTGCGTCATGTGACGTAGGGCGGAGGCGGGACGCCTTGATCGACACCTGGATCAGCCAATCGTCAATCCATGCTGGCTTCGGAGGCCCCGCCCCCTCAGCCAGAGGAGGAGAGGGAGAGATCGCTGCGCCCCCTGCAGACCGAGGACTGCGGCGTGGGCAGCAGGTAACCCCGACAATTACTTTAAAATTTAAATTATAGGACGCCATAAAGAAGACCATAAAAATCCACTTATAATTTAATATGGGACTTTTCTTTTTATTTTTTCCTTTGTTTATTTTTATCAACGTGGTTCTCAGCATTTTATCACCCAAAACATAGTCCGGTTTTGCCTCCTTCAATTTTACTAGGCAGAACTTTCCTAGCCTCTTCACCTTAGGTTGATTCTCGCATCCTATCAGCTTTCGAGGAGCTTTGAACGTTTTAAAATTCAACTAAACAAGAACAGAATGTTTCTGACTTCATCACCCAGTGACGTAGCTAGTAAGCTCAAGCTGGCCCCTCTGCCAAGACAGCCCTTCCTGTCCCCTCTTGTTTCCCTGGCAGATACACTCCCTTTCATTCGGCAAGACACACCTGGAACATGACTTCATCGGTGAGGGCTTCACACCAATCCCCCAAACAATTGAATATCTATGGCCCCGCCTAACCCGACCCTGGACCAAAAGCCATGTTTTATTGTTCTGTGTCTGTCAGCCCCTTGAGGACAGTCACCTCTCTTAGCCTGAAGTAGGTGTCTTCTAAAGGAATTGTGCTAGATATTGGTGCTGGGGGGCGGAGAGGGGAGCAACTTCCCGGTGGGGAAGAAGACAGCTAGAGAGATTGTTTGCCTTGCTAGCATGAGGACCTAAATTTGATCCCCAGAACACCACTAAAGAAAAACCCCGCCTTGGTGGCGTGTGCTTGCTGGGGAGGCATAACAAGATGGATCATTGGGGTTTGCTGTCAAGCCTAACAAGCCTGCTAGGCAAGTTCCAGGCCAAGAAGAGACCCTACCTCAAGAAAAAGGGGGGACCCTAAGGAATGACACCCAAGGTTGTCTTCTGTCCTCCATACATACACAGAAAGAAACAAAGGTGCACACACGTACATGAATTCTCATGCAAACAGAAAAGGGATGGAGAAAGTATTTTCAGTTAAACAGGTCTGAGGAGACTTTGTTGGGGGTGGGGAGACCCTCGTCTCTGACTGATGGTCCAGTGTGTGAGGGAGAGGAACTGATTTGCATCTTATCAGAGAGGATGTCAGCAGCATGCAAAGATAGAGCTTACCCCCCCCCCATTCTGCAGACTCCCTGGAGCTACCAGCTGTCCGTGGTGCTAACTCAGCTCAGGACACAGGATGTCTGGGGAACACTTGCTGATGATGATTGAGGCGAGCCACACTAAGCACCTGAGGAAACAGGCAGCTGCTGTGTGGTGCTCCCAGCCCGGCCGCCACTTTCTGCCGGTCTTTCTGTGGGAAAGAGAAGGAAGACAAAGGTCTGGAGAGGAGGCATAATTGCCCTGTTGTGCTTTGTGGTCCATCAGGAAGCTCGGCGGCTGCATTCAAGGAAGATGGGAATTCATGCTACAACCTGACAAGAGACTCTGTGAGAAGCAGAACTGGCCCAGGGAAAGCCCTGCCTCGTCTAATCCTCCTGGTAATTAATCATAATTAAGATGCACCCCAACAACGTGTCATTATATGATCACAAAGCAGGTTTTGTTATTATTTGAGTAAGCCCCAAAGTTGAAACACACACAAACACACGACTGTTTTTCCCCTCACATGGGCTAAGGTTCACATTCCTCAGAAGCTATCTAATGGAAACCTTTACCCCGGCTCCCACCTCATGGTTTTTACCTTTGCCCAGCACTTGCCTTGAAGACTTCTAGTTAGAGATTTTACAAGACAAACAAAGGCCTGTTGAATTGGTGAAGTTTCTTCAGGAGCGAAAAGAAGCCAGCGTTTAGCCTAATTTAGGATTAGATTCCCTCAGATCAGAATCAATAATAGTTCAGTGTTTCTGTAACTGTTTGCGCTTGTCTGCAGCCTTCTCCATGCCAAGTCATGTTTCAGAAGACCCTCCTGGCACTTAGTGTCCTGCCAGCTAGAACTGGTGGAGGCTTGCGTACTGAAAGATAGGAAGTCTGTTTAGTACAGGGTGTGTTGCAGCTATGGAGATCTGGTACCTCGTGGGTACCCTAAAGGTTGGCAGAGCTCAGCTGGGTCATATGGGACGTCCAGGAGGGTCCTGTTGAAAGTCGTTGGCTGAATCTTTAGGAACCCTGTGGGCCAGTAATTAAATGCAGCCTTTCTTCCAAAAAAGAAAGAAAGAAAAGCAAAAAGAAAGAAAAATTAGTCTGTGTGTATAGGTGTTTTGCCTGCTTGTATGTCTGTCTGTCTGTCTATCTGTCTCTCTCTCTGTGTGATATATATTTGCACTGTGCCCTCAGAGGCCAGAAAAGGGCATTGGATCCTCTGGAGCTGGGGTTACAGGCAGTTGCGAGCTGCCCAAATGGGTTCTGGGAACCAAACCCCAATCCTCTGCAAGAGCAACAAATGTTCTTACTTGTTGAGACATCTCTCAGCCCTCTTCTTAGTCTTCTTCCTCCTCTTCTTCTTTTCGGGTTAGGGTTTCATGTAACCTAGGCTGGCTCTGAGTATGTAGCAAAGGATGACTTTGAACTTCTGATACCCCTGCTTCTTCTTCCCAAGTGGTTGGATTACAGACATTTGCCACCAAGTGTGTTATATGTGGTACTGGGGCTCAAGCACAATGTTCCATGAGCTAGGCAAGTACTCTCCCAACTGAGCTATGTCTCCAGCCCTCTAAACATAGCAAAATGGAATTATAAGTGCAGCGGCACACATCTGTAATCCCAGTACTTAGGAGGTAGTGGGAGAAGGATCAGGAGTTCAAAAATAGCCTGGGTTACATGAGACCTTGTCTTAAACAACTAAAGCCCCCAAATTACATTATATAAATGTACAATTGAATAATTACTTAAAAACAAAGATGGTAGGGAGAAGTGCTTCAACACAACACCAGTGAAACTGTCAAAACTGGCCAGCGAATTTGCTCAGCAGGTAAGAACTTGCTGCTAAGTGTGACCACCTAAATTCAGTCCTTGTGCCTCACATGGTAAAAGGAGAAAACTAACTTGAATAAGTTGTCCTCTGATTCCCCCATGTGAGCTGTAGCGTGTGTGCTATAGCTTGTGTGTGCCACCCTCCACTTAGATACACAATTAAACAACAACAAACCTTTTTGTTAGGTGTTGGTGGCTCACACCTTTAATCCCAGCAGTTTGGAGGCAGAGGCAGGTGGATCTCAGTGAATTTGAGGCCAGCCTGGTCTACAGAGTGAGTTGCAGGACTGTTACACAGAGAAACCCTGTCTCAAAAAAAAAAAAGAAAAGAAAAGAAAGAAAATGATGATGGGGCTAAAGAGATGGCTCAGTGGTTGCTCTTCCGGAAGACCCGGCTTCAATTCCCAGTACCCACATGGCAGCTCACAACTGTAACTTTTGACAACCTCATACAGACATACCTGCAAGCAAAACACCAATGTACTTAATACAAATAAATTATTAAAAAGACAGAAAGAAAAATGATGATGCCAAGGATGTAGCTTAGTTGGCAGAGTGCTTGCCCAGAATGCACAGAGCTCTGGGCTCCATCCTTAGCACACACACACACACACACACACACACACACAAACACGCACCACGCACGCGCGCCTATAATCCCAACATTCAGGAAATGACGCAGGAGGATCAGAAGTTCAAGATCATCTTTGGTTACCCAGTAAGTTTGAGGCCACCATAATGTACATGAGATCCTGTCTCAAAATAAAACACTGACAGCTGTATGTTTGGAGGTCCCTCAAAAGGTGTATTCCTAGAAAACTGTCATCATTGGATCTACCGGCATCTTCATAGAAAAGTACAGATTTCAGGGCTTTGCTTGCTTGCCTGCTTGCTTGATTGGTTGGTTGGTTGGTTAGTTGGTTGACTGATTTTTCCAGACCGCCCAACTAGGGTTTGTTTTTTTTTTTTTTCATTCATTTATTGATACAGTTTCTCTGTGTAATAATCCTGGCTGTCTTGGAACTATATTTGTAGATCAAACTGGCCTGGGTTTTGGGATTAAAGGTGTGCATCCCACTGCCCGGTCTTTTAAAAATTTGTGATTATATCTATTTATTTGTTTTCTGTGCCATGGTATATATATATATGTATATATATATATATACATATATATATATATATGCATGTGTGTGCCCTGTGGAGGTCAAAGCACAACCTTGGGTCAGGATTTTCCCTCTGCCATTCTTCTAGAGCAAGCCTGGGTCCTTAGGAGTGGGGCGTTTTTAACCACTTCCACCATCCCTCAGAGCTGCTTTTCATTTCTCATCCCTGGCTCATTAGACGGCGCAAGCAGGAGGTGAAGACTAAGGCAGAGGGGCTTTGGATGCAGGCCCCGATGAGCTCAAGTATTCAGAAGACTGAGGCAGGAGGATCCCACGTTTGAGGCTAGCTTGGACTACATAGCAAGACTCCATCTACAAAAACAACAACAAAATAAATAAACAGAAACATTGGCCGGGCACGCAGGCAAATCTTAACAATTCAGTAGCAAGACCAGATGTGTGCAGTGCACAAGGAGGCCAAAAGAAGGTGTTGGATGCCCTGGAACCGGAGTCATAGATGATTGTTGGCCACTATTAGGGTGCCGAGAATTGAACCCAGTTCTCTGGAAGAGTAGCTAATGCTCTTAGCCACTGAGTTGTCTCTCCAGCCCCACTCCATAAAGATTTTTATGACTGTCCTTTGCGTCTCTAACTTGGATCCTTCTTGCTGTTGCATTACTTTAATCCCTCTTCAGGCAAATTGGGAGAGCAAGTAGGTTAAAGTTTATCCCAGGCCCTAGTTCTCTGCCAGTAGTTAGCTGATTTTATCTGCATGTTTTATCTGCTGACTTTATCTGCATGTTGTGTTGACTATCCAACAAGTGTGTCTCTGTGAAACTCTTGGCTTCTGCTGCCTTCTACATCCTGTCTAAGGCATGTGACTCCAGGCAGAAGATCACGTGTCTTTCAGAGCTCTGAGCCACCTCCCACTTGGGAGGCGGGGGAGTAACTCAGTATGACAAAGGTTATGTCTAATAAATTAGCACTTTTAATATATGTACTCTATACTGCGACATAATGATGTTCTCCATAAGACAATTACAAGATTTATAAAAAGTACACAACAGACGGTGAGAGTCAAGAATGGAAAATCACTTTAAAAACATATTAGCGAACAGATTCCCACTCCCAGCTCCACCCCCAAGTTCATCAGCATGGATGCCTTCGTTTGGAGGTAAGCTTTATTTAACGATGACTTTCGAATCATTTTTGATGTGTCAGACTGCTCTAAGCACTTTATATGTAATCACTCTTTAGTCTTTATCTAATTTTAGGGCATTTTCATCACCCACGAAAGAAATCCTGGAGCTGGTAAAAATGGCTCAGCAGGTAAAGGCACTTGCTGTTGAGACTGACAACCTGAGTTCAATCCCTATGATCCAGATGGCAGAAGAGGAGAACCAATTCGCAAAGGTAGGCTTCTGACCTCCACAGAGCACCATGCCATTGGTGTGCATGCACGCTCACACAGAAATAAATAAAATGGTAAGAAATGTTGCACCCGCTCCCAGCCTTTCCCCACCCCACCAGTCCTAGGCAACCTCTAAATTACTTCCTGTTTGGGAAGGGGGCGTTGCCCATTCTAGATATTGTATATATATAAAATCATATACTATATGGCTTTCCTTTTTTTTTTTGTAAATGACTTAATTGCTAATTCCAATTTACAAATGATACAGAAACAGAAGCTAAGTGTTTTGGCCAAAGTAAGCAACAAATGTAAGACCTAGGTTCCCAAGACTTTGCTACGTTTTACAATAACAAATGAAAAAGGTGGGTGAGGGGGCTGGAGAGATGGCTCAGTTGTTAAGAGCATTGTCTCGACTTCCAAAGGTCCTGAGTTCAATTCCCAGCAACCACATGGTGACTCACAACCATCTGTAATGAGTTCTGGTGCCCTCTTCAGGCATGCACGCAGACAGAATATTGTATGCATAATAAATAAGCAAACAAATATTTAAAAAAAAAAAAAAAGAAAAAGAAAAAGGTGGGTGAGGTGGCTCAGCAGACAAGAGTGCTTGCCACCAAGCCGAAGGACCTGAGTTCAATCCCTGTGATCCACGTGGTGGAAAGAAAGAACCAACTCCCCTAAATTGTTCTCTGACCTCCTCACACTCTCCCATGGCATTCCCTGCCTACAGAAAATAAGTAAATAAACATCTTTAAATGAATAATCAAAAGTAGATAAGCATGAGTCTGAAGAGATCGCTCAGAGATTAAGAACACTTGCTCCTCTTGCAGAGGACCCAGGTCTGGTTCCCAGAACCCATATGACAGCTCACAACCATCTGTAACTCCAGTTGCAAGGGATCTGATGACCTCTTCTGGCTTTTGAGAACACCAGGTACACATGGGGTACACATATACATGCAGGCAAATGCTCATTAAATAGAAATAAAATCTTTTAAAAGTGTAGACAGCTAGGTATAATGGCGCGTGCCTGTAATTCCAGAATCATGAGTTCAAGGCCAGCCTGGGTGCTTTCTGTGTCTCAAAAACAAAAGTAAACAAACAAAAAGCTATTTATTGCAGATCTTTTGTAAAGAAACAAGGCAAAGGCCAAGTTGTTCCTCCACGCCTCTCTGGGGAAGAGATTAGGTAAATGTGCTCTGTGGTGGGGTACACTTTTAATCTCAGCACCCACAGGCAGAAGCAGGCCTCTCTAAATTTGAAATCAGCCTAATCTACATAGCAGGTTCCAGGTCAGCCCACTGGTCTCCAGTGAGACCCTATCTAAAGAGAGAAAGAGGCTGGAGATGGGAGAGAAAAGGGGAGATTAGTTTAGAATTTGCCTTCAGGTAAGGCCAGGCCGGGAGACAGAGATAGTGGTGTTTTCCCCAGGGAGCAGCAGCTCAACAATCTTTGTCTGATTCCAAAGATAGAATCTCTTTCTGTGTTTTCAATTTCTTTGGTCTGACTACACTGAGAAATCCCTATGGTCTTTTTTTTTTCTTAATCTGGGTGTGTATGAGTGTGTATGAGTGTGTGTGTGTGTTGTGCATGTGTGAGTGTTCTTGTATGTAAGTGACACTTGTGAATACACACACATGCCATAGCTTGCATGTAAAGGTCAAGGGACAACTTTGGATGCCAGTCCTTGCTTTCCACTTTGTTTGACACAGATCCCCTGTTATTTTTTTCTTCTGGATACTCTCGGCTACTTCGAATTTCTGCAAAGACTCTGGGCCTTGCCTTCCCATGGATGCAGCCCGTGCTGGATGAGGCTCTCTAGGGGAGCCCTGCAGCAGCCCCACCTGACATCATTCTCATTCAGGCATTCCGGAATCATCAGTTACATGTGTACCCTCACAAGATGCACAGCCATGCTGAACAAGACAGACTCAGTCCTCGTTCTCACCAAGATACCATGAAGTTTATGAAGAACATGTGTGCCAGGCAACCGTCCCTGCTGATCAGGGACAGCTTCTCGGAGACGACGTTTAAGCAGCAACCCAAAGAGATAGGAGGAGGATAAAACAAAGGGAGGTGGGTGGGGAGTTGCAGCTGTGTACAGGTTTTTGTTTGTTTGGTTTGGTTTTTTGAGACAGGGTTTCTCTATGTAGCCCTGACTGTCCTGGAACTCACTCTGTTGACCAGGCTGGCCTCAAACTCAGAGATCCACCTGCCGCTCCTGGGATTAAAGGCCTGCCTGGCTGTGGGCAGAGTTTAACACTTATTGTCTGTGGTATGTCAAAGCGGAGAATGTGGTTCTCTGCTAGACAGTCCTGGGGCAGGTAAGTGTTGGTGGGAGAAAGGAAGATCTGGTGTAAGATGCTGGGAGTCGGGTGTGCTGGGGGGTGGGGAGGGTAGGCAGAGTCAGGCACTGAGTAAAGAGATAAATAAGGCTTGAGGAGTGACTTGGGGTGATGTAGAGTCAGGTCTGGCTCCTCCCACTTGTCCCCTCAGGACACGGGCTCTATTTCCACTTTTAGACCCAGGGCACAAGATACTCTGGGAGTCCAGCCTTTTCTAAGATCCCTGTGGAAGCCACAGAGCGACAATGCTCCCATCCTGTTTTAATTGTTGGTTTCTGCGGAGCCGTGGGCTTTTCTTGCACAGATCCTCCTCATGTTTGCTTTTCCCCAGTTGATTCCACAAGCATTCAACTAACCCGGCGTGTAGCTGCATTGTGTTAGGTGCGCTCCAGACACTGAGGTGAACAAGATAAGGTCGCTACCTTCAAGGAGATTACTCCAAAGACAGGCAGAGCACAAGCCACGTGGGAAACCCCACCCACCAGTCACAGAGCCTTTACCCCAAGCCCATAAAACCAGGCTGACACTGAATGTCACCACCTGCTACTTTGCTTCCCGCCAAGGCAACTGGGCCAGACTGGGCAGGGCAGGCTTAAGCCAGGCGTGTAGGCAGGTGGGACGAGGCTTCTGGGTTCATGCCTGCCACTCGGTGCCTACTACGTCACCCTGTGGCACACGCCCAGCCCTGGACTACTGGGGATTTCAGGAAGGTAAAACTGAACCTACAAGCAAAGCAAGACCTGGAGAGACAGGATCTAGAATTGTATATTGTTCACTCTTGGGGAATCTGGGACAAGGTACTTGGGTTACCTCCTAACAAAATCAATGTATCCAGGCATATATGAGGAACAGAGAAAAGGTCCATTCTAGACCAGGGGCATGGTTGAGTGGTAGAAGACTTGTCTAGACTTCCCCAGTGAGGGGATGCAAGCAGGGCTCACCAAGAGAACATTTTCATAGAGTTCCCCCAGTGAGGAATCGGAGATGTAGTTCAGTGGCAGAACCCTTGCCTAGATTCTTCCAGTGAGGGGGCTGAGGATCCACTCGGGCCTGCCTCTTTTTTGTTTGTTTTCCTATTTCCTTTCAGACACTTACAGGGTCTTGCTGTGTAGCCGAGGCTGGGTACAAACTAGCCATTCTCTTGCCTCAGCTTCCCAAGTGCTGGCACTGCAGACATTAAACTCAGCCTCCACCTGGTCCTCTGCAGCTTGTCCTACCGTACCGTTCGTTTTCATCCCCATGGTGGTCTCAGGGAAGCCTGTGAGCTTTGGGGGTGAGGGTGGGGTGTCTCAGGAGAGGTAACAAGTTCTGCCTTCGCCACAACACAGAGGCCTGCCTTAAAAAGTGACAAAATGGCCTGATGGGGGTGGCTTGCACCTTTTATCTCAGTACTCAAGAGGCAAAGGTAGGCAAATCTCTGTGAGTCAGAGGCCAGCCTGGTCTACAAAACGAGTTCCAGGACAGCCAGGGATACATCGAGAAACCCTGTCTTGGGAAAACAAAACAAAACAAAACAAAACAAAACAAAACAAAAAACCAGTGGGGAAATGACCCTTGTGTGACCTACTTATATAGAACCTGGAGTCAAAGCTCGAAGGAACCGACAGGGTCACGGCAGCCACTGTCTGAACCTGGCTGCGGTTCCCTTTAGGACCCAGAGCCCAGCAGGAAGCTTTGTCTCACCAGCAGCCCCCACCCCTTGTGGCTGGGGCTAAAGGTGACTTTAAGGCTAAAGGAGGTCCCAGGTGACTTCCTGTACCTCCCGTTGCCCCGCCTGTTTGTGTCCAAAGGTATTTATTAAGGTAGTTCCTGCATCTGATAACAGGATGGGCCGGAATGAGTGGTTCTTTTGTAACACTCAGTGGACTTATTTAATAGCCCAAAGAGGTGTGGCTATTTCTTCCTATTAGAAATAAGTATGCTTTGCTTTTCTCTTCAGTGCTGGGGCTAAAATCCTGAGTATTACAATCTGCTAGACATTAACTTTACCTTTGAGCCAGGCCCCCAGTCCTTCAGTGGGGATTCTAGGCAGGGCCTCTACCACTGAGCCACACCCCAGCCCCTTACTGAGGGATTCTAGGTGGGGCCTCTACCACTCAGCCCAGCCCATAAATAGGATTTCCCTATCTCCTTGTTCATTCTGAATTATAGCCTTTGTTTTTGAGACAGGGTCTCACTATGTAGCTCTGTCTGCCCTGGAACTGGTCTCAAGCTCACAAAGATCAGCCTATCTCCGCCTCCCAAGTGTTGGGATTAAAGGAGTGCACCACTACATCAGACTGGGCGGGGTAGTAGCCTTTGCTAAAAAGGCATGTGTTCATATTGTCTTAGATTTCCCACCCAAGTCTATATTCTTCTCAGGAAGCTCCGATACCTAGGTGTCCCAGGAGCACTTCAAGTGTCTCTTGGGAGTTATGTCATCACTCTACAAAAGAATCCTCGAGGTTGGAGCTGTGCCCATTTTCCAGATGCAGGGGCTAGGGAATCATCCCACAGAATGAAGTGTTTTAGGTCAGTGTCTAACACACAGCAGGAAGGAAGGGCTCCTGGGGAGGCTGACCTTCTGCCAGTGATGTCACTTGGGCTTTGAGCCGTCTGGCTGTCTCCTCTACACTGTTTCTGCCTGGGATGGGGGTGGGGCAGAGACATTCCCTGCCCCACCTGCTCCCTCCTCCTGGTGAAGGGTTAGAGTTCAGTGTACCCAGGCAGGCCAGTGGAGACTTTGAGGATAGACTCCGCAAAGGGAACCTGAACACCAGAAGGCAAACTTATCCAGATTTCCATCTTATTTATTCCCATTTATTGTCCAGGAAGGTGTCAGGTGACATACTTGCAGTCCGCAGGTCTTGCTCAACAGTCCCAGATTCCTTTAAGAATACTCACTTATGGGTGGGGAAGCTAACTCAGTGGGCAAAGAACTCGATGCATAAGCATTCCGGCTTTAGTTCAGGTCCCCAGCACCAGTGCTAAAACCAGGTGTGACGGTGCGTGTCTGTAAGTTCAGCCCTGGGGCGCTGAGATGGTTGCTCTCCGGTGTCAACTTGACTATATCTGGAATGAACTACAGTTCAGAAATGGTCTGAACCTGTGGTCTGGATCCTGCGGCCGGAAGACAGCAGCCTTTGATTCAGATCTTGAGTCCGGGAGACACAGCCTCAATCTGGGCCCCACGGTCTACTGGAAGCCTATATAAGGACAGCTGAAGAAGGGAGGGCTCATCCATCCCTTCGCTGGCACCGGAGCCTGATTCAAGATTCCAGCATATATGGAAGACCAGCTGAGACACTCAGCCTTGTGGGGCTGAACAACTACTGCGTTCTTGGACTTCCCATTCACAGATAGCCATTGTTGGATTGCAGCCTGCCATTCCAATAAATTATATGTAATGCATATATATGAAGGGGGTTCATTTCATAAGTTCTGCAACTAGAGAACTCTAACTAATACAGAGACAAGGAGATCTCTGGGGCTTTCTGGCCAGCCAGTCTAGACTAGTCAGTAAGCCCCAGGTCCCACTGAGAGACCCTGTTTCAAAGCCTAAGGTTGTGGGAGGGCTGGAGAGATATCTCTGCAGTTAAAAACACTCACTACTCTTGTAGAAGACAGACATTTGGTTCTCAGCACCCGGAGGGCAGTTCACACCCATCAGTAACTATAGTTCCAGGGGATCAGGCACCCTCTGCTGAACTCAAAGGATATAAGGCAGGCATGCGTATGAACAAACACATTAAAAAAAAACTAATGGAGCTGGGCGGTGGTGGCACATGCCTTTAATCCCAGCACTCGGGATTACTCGGGTCTACAAGAGCTAGTTCCAGGACAGGCTCCAAAACCACAGAGAAACCCTGTCTCGAAAAACCAAAAAAAAAAAAAAACCAACAACTAATGGGTGGAGGGCAACCCTCAACATTGGCCTCTTGCTCTCATTCACTCACGTATGGGAACACACACACACAGAAACACAGGCATACATTTGTGATAGTTCTCCAACTGCAATGGTTGAGAAATAGAAACCATAAGCTAAACACAGTGGCCCACACCTGTCAACCCAGCACACAGGCAGTGGGAAACAAGAGGATCGTAAGTTCAAGACTAGCCCAGTTACATAGCAACTTCATGGCTAGTGTAGGCTGCATAGGGCCTTGTCTCAAACAAACAAACCAAAAAAACCCAAAACCCTCACAAAACAGAAAAGAAGAATCATGCAAATATGACATATGACCAGACAAGGAATGACTATGTCAACAAGAGACAATGCCTCACGTTAAGTAAAATACAGCATGAGTCCATACGCATATGCATATTCATGTCCATACATGCATATTCATGAGGACTGGAAGGAACTCATGGAAACAGTGGGGTTTTTTTTTATGTTTTTTCTTTCCCTAAATAACAGGAATAACAGGGTATTTCTTGTCTTTTCTACTTTTTTTTTTCATTCTTTTAAATGAACCTGAATTATTTTATAGGCCAAAAAGAGGGTTTCTGAGCTGGGTGGGGCACTCAGGAGGGCGAAGTAGGCGGATCACTGTGAGTTCCAGGCTAGCCTGGTCTCCAGAATGAGTTCCAGGACAGCCAGGGGCCAGGGCTACACAGAGAAAGAAACCCTGTCTCGAAAAAGACAAAATTTAAAAAAAAAAAAAAAAAGGAGGGTTCTGTGCAGGTGTGTGTATGTGCCTTCAAGTGTGTTTTATGATCTATTTTATTTGCAATGAAGTGAAGGGGGGGGGCACATGAATGCAAGTGCCTATCAAGTCCAGACGAGGGAGTCAGATCTCCTGGAGCTGG